TGCTATACGGCAGGATACATTGCTGACACTGCAAAATGCTTCTCTGCCAGAGGTGACACATGAACATCTCCCTGATGGAGGTGAGGGAAGTGCTTTTGAAAGACAGGTCAGAAAACGCCAGTGATAATTTCTCATTTGTTCCTGAGGACAGTGGCCTAGGAAAGGCAAAATACAAAGGGATGCAAACATTTACACGCAAGCACTCACATTCTTAAATACCTTCTATAAAGATATTGATCATATACATGAAAACATATAACAGAAAGTTTACCCAATAAAAATGTGATTCCATGGCAATGCTGGCCTGTACAAAGATAGGGCACTTGCACTAAAAGGACTATTTTAAAATCAGCAAAAATTTGACTGTTCACTTTGCTTGTTTTTTAGTGTATTTCAAATATAAGACCGTGCTTATGCTGGCATCTAGTGGCTGTTGTGTTTATGGAGATTTCCTCCCCAGAACCTTTGTGTCAAGCACGGGAAGCTATGATCAGTTGTTTGGCTTTTCATCTAAGACTGACTTTCCAGAAATATTTTTCTTTTATAGGTTTTATCTTAGAGAAACTTCTCATGGATTACTGCAAAGGTCAATATTGAGGTCAGAGGAGTCCCAGACATTAGGGTGAGTGTGATTTTCCCCTTATAAATAGGTAAAATTCTGAGCTCAGGGCTTCATTTTATTTAAGAATTGTAGAAATAGGATTTGAAAAGGCTAAAATTTAGGATGGTTCAGACTGACAAAGGCTAGAGGTAGCTCAGACCTAAGTATCATTCATGTGAAGTTTTTGTTTTTCAGGCTTTGCAGAAAGGAAATGCACTCATCCAGGTTTAACAAAAGAGCAAGAGAGGAAGGCCATGTCTCTGGCTGGCTCAGTGTGCTCACCTGCTGGGACAAAGTCAGAGCAATTGCTGAAAAAGAGCCATGCCTTCTGTTAGCGAATGTCTTGAAAGGGGACATGGAGATACAGGTTACTGATAGGGTGACCCGGTAAGTGCTCTTCTTCTCAAGAGAATGAACTGACAGGAGAGCACTTTCCTACAAGAGAGTGAGGACTCACTGTTGCTAAAGAAGAAGGAATTCACTGCCAGTGGCAGCTGTGAGGTCATTCCAAATAAAGGGCAGTGCAACAGCTGGCCTTCTGCTCATTCCACCCACAGTTCCCTCCCACTGAGGGGAGCTCTAGGCTCCTCTTAGTTCTCTTATGGCCTTGGCTCCCTTTCCTCTTCTCACAGCTTTACTAGTGACCCCAGTTCTTCTGGTTCCCTTCACCCCAGCCTTCCACATCCTTGCAGTCTACCAAGACCTGCCAGCCCAGCTGGTCACTGCCCCAGCTCCCTGCTAAGCCTGCTCCCTGGCCTTGGCTCAGTCCTTCCCATACTGTGGACACTACTGATGAAAATCTTAGCACAATGCAGAGTTTTTTGCCTCATCTGCCTTTGTGCTAGTTGATCTCTTCACATCTGTTGATTCTTACACAAGGAATTTATTTTCCTTCTCATCTGATTTGGCCCCTGACAAGTTCTCTCTCTGCCACATTCCCTGCTGCAGAACCCCTTTTCTGCAGAACCATGTGGGTTTTGCTAAGAAAAACAGTGAGCTCTGCTGTGACCTCTCTCTTCCGTTTGACCCACTCTTTCCTTTAGTCACACACACAGCTTTGACTAACAGTATTATTCTGAGGACTGTGGCCTCTTCTTCTGTGAAATTCAAACACAACAGCTACGTTCTGCTTCAAGAACCAACAGACCAAGTGAGGGGCCCTGAGCAGTGGCGTGGCATTGTCCATGCAGTTAATTAGCAAGGTCTGGGCACACTGGTAGTCTCTCATAAATGTTGAGACACTGCCTGGGACTGCTTCCCGTCAGGCTGCAGAAAGACAGTAGTTACCTGTATGATGTGAACAACATCCTGCAAGTTTGTGTCAACCCTAAAAATCTGAGGCCCACGTTATTTACAAAGGTGTGATTAGCATCTAAGCTGTCATGAAGAGTGACTCACTGGCCATAAGACAACACCTATGTGTTTGAATAGCTTCCTGGACCTTCCCCCCAGAAAACGAGGACTGAAGCCCAGCAATTGCACCAGCACTGCCACATTCCTCCCATGAGTTCTGCTCTTCCTTACTGTGTCTATGGGAAATGTGTAATGGATTTGGGAAGCACTGAGATAAACTTCTGGCAAAAAGATCCACCAAGGACCTTCAGACCCTTCAGAGACACCTCAGCATTTCCCCATTGCCTGCTCTCCAGAATGGGCTGGATCTGCCCTTAGTGCAAGCCAGAGTGGATGTTCCTCTCTGAGTGCCCTGGACATAGAAACAAAAGTGAATTCAAGCCCAGGATCTAATGGTAGTGCTTTCTTTAGTGTGAGGGCAGCCAGATTTACATACTGAATTCAGGCAACAATATGGGGGAAGACCTAGAGAGCTTGTGATCCACAAAAACCCAAGGGAATCTTTTCTTATATGCATACCTTAGATTGTAATGTATGAAATATTGTAGCTAATGAGTCCCATTTACCTGAGATGTTAGTACATCCACATCCTGTATCACTTTTATCTTTTGACATTTTAGAACTTCTTTTTTTGAAGTGATAATTTCCTTAACTATATTATTGTGAATTCATTTAAACTCCTAAAAGCTTAGCTATAGTCTAATTGTGACATAGATATTGATATAATGAAATCTGCTTTTGGAAAGCAAATGCCTGTCTATTAGCAGAATCTTGTATAATTGATTTTTAGTTGAGAGCAGCAGCTGTTTATTCAGTTCGCAGGTTTCTTGTGGTTTGTGGTTTCTTGTGGTTTAAGCATTTGCAGGGTGTAGACACTAATGAGAGCACTGAATTGTTTATGGTGATCTTTGAAGGAGCACTGCAGATTTGTTACGAACTTTTGCCAGCCCAGCAGAAATATATTAGTGCCTCCTTATGCAAAGTCCCACGTGCAGAGTAACCTCACTAATCCAATGCCTTGGGACTGTGCCACCAAGCAGGGTAGTGAAAGTTTACCCTGCCATCAAATGGCAGTTGATTACAAGTTTTCTTCAGATCTATTATGTGGAGGATTGCCTCTTTCCCAAAATAGGTTTCTCAGGCATAAAGCAAAACAAAAAGAAAATTCACTTTAAGGCTCTTGCAGCAAAAGCCAGTGTAAGAGCAATGGACTAGGCATTAGCTTAGGAGTTACCTCCTCAACTGCTGAACTAGTCCTGTAAGGCTAGCTCTGCACCAGGAGTGCATGGATAGCTGCCCTAGTTGGAAATTTGCCTCTTACAACAACAATATCCTGCCAGAAACTGTGAGGTAGAGCTCCTCTTTTTTCTTCTTTTCGTGGCTTTTGACTTTCACAAGTACTTCCATACCTATTCCACCACTGCACATTTTCCACTGGATAGTTCATATTGGTATTTATGAGCTACAGTGAGAATGATCTGGTTCTCCCAAACTCAGAATGTGACCAAATTTCTCCTAATAACTCGAAACTTAATAAGTACTGACTGCACAGTGGTCTGCTAGATATTTATCAGCTCTATAGGGAAGGAGAGGAAGTTTATTTGAAGTAGGCTTTCCAAACCTTTGAAAAAATACACCTGCAGAAACAATATTAAACCATGGAGGAATAGAAAAATTGATCTCACAATTCTTTCTCCATAAATATTCTTCATGACAGATCATCTTCCTTAAGTACAAGGCAAAAGGGAGCCCTCTAGGGTAAGTATTATGTGGGAAGATCACCATTTTCAAGGTGCAGCACAGCTGGTTTCATTTTGTGCTTGAGCAGCAAGGAAACGCATGTTCATGAAACAAGATAACTTATGTTGCAACCTCTACATCTAGGAAAAACTAAATTGCTGCTTATCCAAGCCCAGGAGACTTTGCCAGCAGAAACATCTCTGTACATATTCCCTGTGTCTCCAAGCATCTGTCAAAGAGCAGGTGGAAGAGATGAATGTTCCTTGCAAAAGCTCATACTGGTCATTCTCATACTTCCTAAAAAAGAGCATGAAGAGGTGAGTGGAGGCCACCTCTTTTACCAGGTCACATTCTGGCCTTCACTTCTTTTCACAGCTGCCTAAGCCTCATGTATTGCTGCTCCTTTTCCCAAGGCTTTCTGCCACCACACCAATGCTTCCACTCTCTGCTACCTATGTGCTGCCAGTATCAACAGCCATCACATCCTATCTGTATACTTTTCCTGTAATTATGATATCATGTCTTGTCCTTCTACTGCTCTCAGACTTCTTCAACAAACAATCACATGCATTCTGCTAAGCTTGTACACACTGCAGTGGGGTGAGGAGTACAGAAGGGCAGGAAGAGGAAAGCAGTGGTGGTGTGGTGAAATAGAAGAGTGACAAAAGGAGACAGCTGGAAGGAGCGGGATTGGTTGTGATATTTAAGAATACAAAATCTTGGTGTGAGTAAGGTAAGTGGCTTTTGTGGTCTGTTTTATGCAGTCTCTTCCTTGCATTTGACTGAATGCTAGACTCAGAGCCACTCTAGTCTTCTGGCAGCCCTGTGGATGGTAGGGTGCCATCTTTGGTTCAGGTGGGGTGGAAGTCCTCTAAGTTGGTTACAACAGCAGACCCCAACCAGCTCAGCTCTCCCGTTGCACGCCTTGGAAGCACTGCATCCACTAGGCATCATAGTCTCATACTGTTCTGTCAGTGAGGATTTACTGCTGTTTCAGATCTAATGAAACTCTTTCTATTCTTCCTGATGTTTTGCTAAAGCACATGGCTGTAGCTCAGGTAAATTACAGGCTTGTAAAAGAAATTACTGGGTGTTACCACCTGGCCTGCACTGAAGGGATGATAGACTCAGAGACTGCAGAGACTCTTCCTGAGCCTGAGAAATAATGAATTGCCTTGCAGAGCTGTGGCTTTGCAAAATCCTACAAAGGCTTCATTTTTTTTTCCATTCCCTTTTGTTTAACACCCCAATGTTGGTGCTTTTACTGGGATGGTACGACTATATATTGTCTGGCCTTTCCTTCTAATCCAAAAATACTACAGGCAGTAAAAAAAACTTGCACAGAAATTCCTGTCAGGTAAAAAGTATAAAACATTTTTATTTTCAATGGGATTTCATGTTTCTTCTTTTTCAATTCATATATTGAAGAAATAGAAACAATCAATTTTGCCTTGAGTGATAGACTATGCCTGTTTCCTCTGCCACATGTGGGAGCTCAGCCTTGAGCTTCCATTGGGGCTGTCTTTCATGTATAGCTCCTGACTTCAGGCAATGAAACACAAGGTGAGAGAAGTTAAGCTGGTTGGTTGGGTGAGAAAAGCACCAAACCTGATGTTTTGCTGTGCCTGTGCCTGTTAACATAGGCTTAGAACGAAAATAACAACATCAGAATTCACGTGTTTCTTTCCTAATCAGGTGCCACAACACAATTGGGAATATAGTTATCATAGAAGCATTAAGTTTGGAAAAGACTACTAAGATCATCTAGTCCAATCACTGACCTATCACCACCATGCCCATTAACCTACTCCTTTTTGAAAACAAAAAACGTCTTTTCAGACTTCACTGCTGACCTGGACTGAGCTTTAGATTCTTGTTTTAGATTTTCAAATTCTTCTCCACAAGGTTTGTCCCAGCTTTGAATTGGCTTTGCATGGAGGACATTCCTGTATTAGTGAGCTCCTCTGCCATCTGCTGGAATGTTTGATGAGCACTGTGAGCTAAGTGCTTCATGCTTTGCAATGATGCTTTGTTTTCCCTGCCTAGACCACAGCCTATATTATTTCTCCCATCTGACTGAATTCCTAAGGCAGATCCCGGTAACAACAGAAGCACAGAGAGTCTCCAGGTGTGCAAACATAACTCTTGGGAGCATTATGGTAGGTGCAGCTCACAGGGGAACTTCAGCTGGAAGAGAAGGCAAATGGAGCACTCACTAGCAGGGCAAAACATTTGCAAGAGCTATCTGACACACTGGCCTTACCTTTCCTCAATAGGCAGAACCCATCTTCATCAGAGAGGCGTGAAGGTTTTGTCCTGAGTCACCAAACTGCATCGGTTTCCAAATCTACCTTCCTGCTTCTAGACCAGATCTGGTTATTGAGCCAAGTACGCTTAATACCCAATAAATAGTAAAAACAGAGTTCAGCTGTGAGACATGATGGCTGTAAAATCCTTACCTGCTGAAGAACATTTCAATTAGTCTATTCACTGTTCTGAAGAAAGAGTGTGGCAGAAGGCCAGATCTAGGGCACTGACTGCTTCCTCTGGAGTCACAGACCAGAATTTAAAATGTAGTACACGGTGTGTCATGCTGTGTTTCCAGCCAGCATCCTGGGTTACTGAACTAACAAGTGAAAGTACCATGAGCTTTGCTGCTGCAGAACAGAAGGACTGGAGCTCCCTCAGGACATTTCTGATGCCTCTTGAACTTGGGAGATTCAGATTCCATTGTGGAGGGTCTAAGCAGCAATGATGTTCCCTGATCATCTGCTGTGTTACAAAGATTGACTCTTCAGCTCATGCAGATGCTGTAGCTCCAGAGCATTTACAAGAGGCAAGGAATAACCTAACAGCTCCCAATTAGCTTTTCGGAAAGAATACACGGTGCTGAAGTTATGCCAGAAGGATCAGCATGTGACTCCTTTGACAAAAGCAATGCTGCTATTCCTTGTGATGCTTTAACCTCCTGCGGTGCCAGATGTAGCTAGTGTTTTACTATTTCTTTCTTCAAATAGCAGTGCTCAGGGGGGATAAACTTTACTTAACCTAATTAATTTTAATCACAGCTTTCAAATCTCATACTGTGCAAAGAATTACAAATTGGAATACATTAATAGAAGCTGTGGTTTATGCTGCAAGCTAATCAGGAAGTGTGCATTTACATTTTCTGCATGAGTTTGCAATTACTATTAAAATAAAATTCAGTTATGTCCTTTTATATTACTAAAATGTGACGAGCAGGTTGAGCAGGTCTGATTTGTTGTAGAAAATGACTTGAAAACGGCCCACATTTCAAAGAATTAAATGATTCTTACTGAGTAAGAGGTTTTAGAAATGACTTCCAGTTGTCTAGAGTTAAGGTCCTTCCAGGCATTCTGGTTTAAACAATCTTTCTTTTACAATAATGGATTGCCTAATATTTCCTACCTGCTTCAGTGCTGATCCACAGAGGGAACAAAGAGAGTTCTTTCACAAAGTCAGTGATGCTTTGCTGAGGGAGTAAGTTGGAGAAATAGCATCTCAAAAGACCTCATCCAAAACCCAGTGCTGAGATACCACAGCACTCAGAAGCAGTCCAGAAAATTGCCCACCCAATGAAGGGGTTCTTATCTGATGAATAATTTGGGGAGGGTTAGAATACCCCCAAATCCTACAGTCCAGCCAATTTGGGGTTTCATTACAAACACAAAACTCCTTCATATGATTTTGAAATCGTAATTCTAGTAGGACTGCACTGCAAATTTTACTTGCACCCAATGATTTTGGAACCTATGTCTCTTAGTATGATACCTGAACGCATGTGGAAGATCAGTCTCTTCAGCCCACCACCCAGCACCTGATTTTGAATAGAAGCCCGCTTTCGTATCCATGTGATTATATAGGAAGGCTGAGCGTCAGGTTTCTCTAGACTGTATCACTATAAGTCTGAGAGCCTCTGCTTTTAGAGTACCGGTGGCTGAAGTAGTTGAAAAGAGAAGAGGAAAGAGAAGAATGGTCTTGGTGGCCTTGCTGACATAAAACAAAACAGCAGAATCTTTTTTTAACAGAGCTGTAATGCCAGATCAAAGTGACTTGGCTGCGTAATGCCTATTCTCAAAAGCAACTTGAACTTTTAGGAAACTAAGTCCCATTCATTTCAATGGACACCCAGCATCACTCTGAACACGTAACTAAAACTCCTCAGGTCACTTTGGCACATCTGAAAACATGCCATGTCTGGGGAAACAGCTTCATTTTGAGGAAAAAGTGAATTGCTCCCAAAGGTATAATTATCCTCAGGAGCACAGTGTTACGCTGTGACAGGGCTCCAAAACATTTTTAGTATGAAATTTTACACTGTAGTATAATGCACTGCTCAAGAGAGTATAGTAGGGCTTGTATTTGTTTCCCAGCCTAAACACTTTGCAACTTAATGTCTTTTTTTTTTTTCTTTTTTAAATTCAAGATTATGCAATGCTTGCAGTGCAAAACAAAGAGGAAAACCACAGCCTCACCATGCAGAAACAGCGTACTCCTTTGTATAGCAAAAGGTCAAATTGCACTGCTTCTGGGAAAACGCAAGTAGATGCATACATTATAGATGATAACTTTTAGCTAAGTTGTAAGCCTTGTGCTTGGTAAATTATTGATAGCACATCAGAGGTTTATGAAAGCCATGTTTAACATGCTGAATTCAAATAAAAAGGTTTGTGAAAATGGTTTTTGTAAAATGTAATACAAAGTACAAATATTGATACAGAGACCAAGAAGATGGAACATCCCTTTCACTGAAGCTCACCGAAAGCTCTGGAAGAAGAAAATTAACTGCATTATTGCTGTGAAATATCACTTCAAACTTGTATTTGCATCAGAAAGTTCATTGAGGGTTTCTTCTTTTTAAAAATTCAGTTGAAATGCTGCTTAGAGAGCTCCTAACCACAGAATGAGTAACTTTAAAGGAAATGATGAGCTGATTCTTGACTGATGTAAGTCACCAGAGCTCTGCTAACGTGGAAATCTGTTTAATAGACACTTCTAACAAACTGCCGATCCACCAAAATAGTTTCTATGCACTTTCTTTAAACCATGGTGAAAATAGGAAAATTGGCTTTTCCATCCCTCTCTGTGCATGCCTCTGGTGAGATAGCACACTGATGGGGCACAAAGAAATGCAAAAAACCACATCTCACCTTCCTTTTTGTCACACACACACAGGTAAATCACCAGCAGATTACAAATGGCTGCACTGTCACAGAAAAGCAGAGGGAGCACATGGCTGCAAGCAAATCTGCCTCGTTTCTGGGTGGTTTGCCAGCATCTTTTGTGCCAGGCAGGAGGTCTACCTGGTTTGATAATTCATCTGTGAGGTTTAGCCATTAGTTTCCTTTATATTCTGTCCAATTAATCTGTGTTCTGTGCAAGTAAATCAAGGCTGATTTCTGACAGCCCTAAAATGACTTGTTGCTAACAGCCAAAATCCAGCTTCTCTGGGGCCAAGCTTGTCCAGCTGCCATCTGGGTCAGCCTGGGTTTTATGGTAGCTCTTTGCAGCAGCTAGAAGCTCCAGCCTCCCTCCAGGTGGACTTTTTTATGTGCTCCTAAATTATTAACAGCACCAAATTTCAGACACAAAACCACTTTGCACCCATTAGAGCATCTCTGTGCATTTAACAGGTATCTGCATGATGCTCCTTCCCAACAAGTCTGTATGTAAATGAGGAAACCACTGCAATTCTCAACTCCAAGTCATAGAACAGCCTTCAGCACCAGCAGCTGATGACTTAGCACAGTTTAATCAGCTCAGGATCATTCCCAGGCTGCTGCTGAAATGAACTATGCGCACAACTTCAGGCTCGCTCAATGACAACCACAGTTTTTAGGTTGCCAGGCCTGGGGAGATTTCTCTGCAGAGCAGGGATGTTTCTTCAAAAGCAGTGATGTTCTTCTGGAGGCTAGAGAAATTTTTTTTTTAAAAAAAAGTCATATTTTTTGCATAATAACAGCTTTCAGTAGAACAAAATTCATGGCTCTGTGGGAAATCACAAAACAAGAAGTCTTAGCAAGCATGAAGTCCTCAGTGCACTGACATGTTAATATAAGAGAAAAATTGCCTTGCACAAAAGGGACCATGAGAGCTGCTGGCATCATTTTTCTCTTGCTGGGTTTTTATTCAAGTACTTGTCACAGTTACCACATTTTGAATATCTCTGTGAACAACTCAGCTCAAAACCCTGCCTCCTCGTGCTGCTCAGCCCTCCTGCAGCAGAGTCCTCTCACCTGCTGGGAATCCAAGACTCCCCTCTTCCGAGCAGCAAACTGCTGCACTCTTCCTATCCAACTGAATAGCTGTCCAGAGAAGTGGTGGATGCCCTGTCCCTAGAGGCATTCAAGGTCAGGCTGGATGGGGCTCTGAGCAACCTGATCTAGCTGCAGGTGTCCCTAGTCATTGCAGGGGAGTTGCACTAGATGACCTTTGAAGGTCCCCTCCAACTCAAACAATTTTATGATTCTATCATATACACATAAATGGGCTCATGAAAAAAAAAAAATAATGTAAGAGCCTGAGTGCTGAGAGCAGGCAGAAAAAAAAGAAAATGAACTGCCAGTGATGAAAAATGAAACAGCCAAACCTCATACTGAAGATAAGCTCAAAAGAAGTCAAAAATGTTGTTCTTGCTTGCCTGCTTTAAGTTCACAACAGAGAAAAAATGAATAAGAGAGAAGTAATGCACATGGGAAAGCACTAAAAGGAAAAGAAGATTTATCTGCCATATGACCACTGAAGCACACCGGTAGGATCAAAACTACACTGCGTGTGCCAAGCCACTTGTGTACTTGACAGGCCTTCTATCTTCCAACATCTGCAGTAGATATTCTCCTCCATGTGCTGCAGAAGCCTTTCATTTGCTTAAAACTTGAAGTACCCAGTCTCAGTATCTCATGCTCTCCCTCTCCTAGATAAGAGGAGAATCCTAACAGCTTTTTATGTAAGTCACTTTCAGTACTGAGGAGTGTAAAATGTAAAAAAAAAAAAATCTTTTAAAATGAGGACTTCTGTTGTTGTAATTCATATCAGAACAGCAGCATTTTACATCTCCAGTGATATGTGTAATCCATTTATAGCTGGCATAGAGGGTAATTACAACACGATTTCGCCTATGCTAGCATTTTCCATGTTGCTTAATTAACTTTTCAAATTTATTATAGTTTCTTGTAGATCCAGCCCTACACCTAAAAGCACAAGCTTCATGTTTTGTCTGTTGCATAGCTGACACTGAAGAGCTGCAGAAAAACTGCATGTATTTATTACCACTCTTGTGGTGAAAACATAGTGCTTTTCACTACAAGTAGGCACAGCAAAGAGCAGAAGCACCTATTTTCTTTTTTCCTCTTCCTTAAACTTAGAGGATAATCTGTACATGTCAGACACATATTGATATAGAAATAAATATGTATCTCTCAAAATCATATATTCAGGAAAATCAGAAGATGAGGTCAATAATTAGTTTAAAGCAAATCTATGGATGCAATCAGTCTTATTGGTGCATAATTTAGGGTACTGTTGACCCAGGAAATAGGAGTTCCTCTGTTAGGATGCTGGCTTTGGTAGTTCCCTGACTGGGGCTGGGTGAGAGTTCCCATTAGGGATAGGCACTCAAGTTGAGCAGCTCAGGTTTCTGCAGAAGACAATGGGGGTCACTCTCTACAAAGAGAAAACAAAATCAGATCTTCAATAAAACAGCAGTGGTGTGCAGAGAGCAAACACAGAAAACGATGCCTTTCTGTTCTGTGCTAGCTTCTGGTTTTGCCATTCTGAATGCAGCTGTATTTTCTGGATCACTGTAGGTTAAAGAGAACTTCGCCTGCTTTCTCAAATAAAGAGGTGTATAATCAACAAATACACAGAGTGGTTAGGCTGCATTTACAGAGCATATGGCTAGAAAGATTATCATGATGGAGAGGGATAATAAAAAAAAATGAAAATGAGAGTAACTGAGTTGAATCAGGAGATCAACAAAATTCACCATTTCATAGAGATTTTCTCTAGACATCAAGTGAAACAAATGTTTGTTTTTCCTTTACTCTGTTAATGCTGCCGCAAGAAAGTAATGTATTTTATTTATGTCTTTGCAGGCAGTACTGGATTTCATAAAAGGAAGGTGAACTTGCATTTTCTGTGTCCTAAATAGCACAGAAAAAAACTTGAGAAGTTCTTTCTTCAAATGTGCATTACATGTGGAGATGCAGCTTTAGGCAATTTCTTCAATAACTCCACTGAATCTCGATGCAATGAAATGCAATCACTTGTAAGGAGAGTCTTGAACTGATCACGGACAAACTCCTACTTCAACCACAAAAAAAAAAAAAAAAACACAAAAAAACAAACAACCAGAATTTTCAATGATTTTACAGAATTTTTAGCAAGTAACAATTCATTTGAATTAGAATATTTTCCTCTCCTTGAATTGTAAATCTCTTTTGGGTATTACCAGAAAGGTGTCTCTTAGACTGCTTTATTTCATTAATAGTTATTCTAAGCAGGATTCAGCAGAGTCAGCTGGTATGCAGCAGGCCCCAAAGCCACTGTCTGTTATTAAGACCTTGTTACGCAGGAGACGTATCTCACATGAAGATGTAATTTCATCAACCTGCTGTGTCTCCCAGTGATGTACCCTTCATGCATTATTATCCCTCTTTCACAACAGTTGGACTATATTGCAAGTGGCTGATAAACTTCCAGTCATACCAGTCCAATCAACTTAGCAAACAGAAGCAAAAAGTGCCTCAGTCTTTTCTGGCCTAGAGGTTAAACACTCTCCAGATGTAGGAAATACCCCCAGTTTGTGCTGCTTACCTGCATCTTCACCAGGAACAGGATCGTTGGAACCCATTGGAGAAAATCCCAGATGAACAGGCAGGACATGACAGACCTGACTCCTGAATCAGGTAAGGACATTTTGGAAGGTCAGCTACCCTCCCTCAGACCTCTGTGTCTCTGTTACCGTGCTTACAAGGTTTTGGGGAAGTGTCTCGGGTAAGAACTACTCTGCCAGCAGGACATACTGTCGATTAAAGCCCACCTGATGGCTACATACACATCCTTTTCCCCTAAAAGCTTCAGTGTGCCCAGCATCACACACAGTCCTTGTGTTGCATCCTTGTTCTGTTGTTATAGCCTTACAAATTGTTGTGAGATATTTGCTATTATAGGCCTTTGCTAAGAGTTGTGTACCCAGGTTTATAAATATCTGAGGTGTGGGGGCCACAGTGGTGAGGCCAGTCTGTTTTCAGTGGTACGTGGAGACAGGACAAGGGGAAACAGACATCAGCTGCAGCATAGGAAGTTCCGCACAAATGTGCGCAAGAACTTCTTTATGCTGAGGGTGACGGAGCACTGGAACAGGCTGCCCAGGGAGGTGGTGGAGTCTCCTTCTCTGGAGATGTTCAAGACCTGCCTGGATGCCTACCTGTGCAACCTGCTGTAGGGAACCTGCTTTGGCAGGGGGGTTGGTCTCCATGATCTCTGGAGGTCCCTTCCAATCCCTACAGTTCTGTGATTCTGTGATCTAAATAAGCAGTGAAAACCCAGTCACTCCTGTCAGTCTTCTTATTACTGATGCTCTATATGCTGCCAAATAAGCTCTTGCCTTCTGGTCACTGCAATTTTTACAAGACACTGCTGCCTGTGAGACCAGATGACTGATACTGACCCACGTCCTTGTTCCTTGCTTCTCTCGCACCTCTTGTTTCTCCACACTCAATTAGGGAAGGAAATTGAGGTTAATATTCCTGTCCTTGAAATTCAATCTATCCTTGTCCCACGGTGCCATTAACGAAAAGAATTTGGATACAGAGCCTCTAGGTCACAGGCTTATGTAGGAGGTGCTGGTAATGATTCACTCACTCATTTGTCTGCTGGGTGGCAAACACCGAGCAAATTGGTGATGTTAGCCTACATCAGAGATGTTTCCCTTGCAAAACCACAGCCACAGTTTAGCATCCCCTTCTGCTCTGAGGTGAAGTTGTGGTGACTGCATGACTTGTGCTGCAGTTCTGCTGGAAACGCGCCAAGGGCACACGTGGGTCTGCTGCTGTGATACTGCTATTTACAACCATGATTTGAACACTGGCTCTTGCATCTCAAAACATTATCTGTGGTCAGAATTATAGGGCAAGTTTTACTGTGTACTCTTAACGTAAGAGCTGCAGGTCAGTTACATGATTGGCAGTTCTCAGGCTCAGAACATATTCAGCATCACAAACACAATAGTGGGGTCAAGATGGGTGTATGTATCATTTTGGGTTTTGTTCATTGGTGGACGCTGACAGATGGGGAGCTGTGAGGGTTTTCACAAATGCCAGCATCAGACAGCTGACAATCCCTCCCATGCCCGTTCGTACAGTCTCTGGGGAGGCTGATGCACAAGGCAGGATGCTATCTGTTTTGCATCATCCACTTCAGTAGTCTAAATCAGGGTTGTTATTTGAGCTGCTGTGGAAAAGCACCCCATTCCCTTACTTATAAAGCTGATGGGAAATAGTGCTGTGGTGAATACTCCCACTGTCTTTCTGGATGCCTGCTCCAAGGCTGAAGGTACATCTTCAAACTCACTGCAACAGGGGCTTCTCCTACTGGCTGCTGTCCTAGATACCCTGGAATAAGACTTCCAACCCTGACAAGAACACACAGCTCTTGAAAATAAAGAACGACTTGCTGTTTTCTTTTCCTTCATCTCAATGGAACAAAACAAAAATGATCCCTAGAGCTACTGCTTGCTTTTAATCATGCTGAAAATTTTTGTACTTTGCTGTGGCTGAAAGCAAGCAAGCCAGCGTTGGTGCACTACCATCACTCACTCTGCAGTAATTAGGTCTGAGCTGCTACCATGGGGAACATTAGTCTAACACCAGACATTGGATCATAAAGGTTGAGGAGAGCTCAAAGTA